AGATAACTGTAAGAGCTTTTACAGCATACCTAAGGATGCATTAAGTGCTGGAAGTGTGGCATAGCCTTTAAAAGTCTAGGTTCACAGCTTCACAGCTAAAAATAAAAATGCACTGAGGTGTTACCAGCACCTGGAAGGCTGAGGCAGGAGCATCAAGCATTCAAGGCACAGACACAGTGGTTAAAAATCAAATATGAACAGCAACTAAAAGATTGTCTGACAATGTAGACATGCAGTAGTATGTTTTCAGAAAACACACTGTGCTAAATGCTTTACAGAAAAAGTTGTGATGTGTGACCATGGTTAATAAGAAAGGAAACATATTACTGGCTCATAATTTGTAGCAATTGGAATATATTTATTGAAGTCCACTATAAATAATCAACAGATTATCTCTATTTAGTAACTTTTGCTTCCAAAGTTTTCCTAAAATATAGGCAAGGAACAACTGCTGATGTTTGGAGTTTGCATCAAGCCTAGTTCTGAAACTGCTTTAAGATATTGCTACTGTATCCCATACTAGCACACAACTTAGTTTCTACTAAAAATATTGTTTTAAATGAAGAGGATCCAACACTTTAAAATTAGTACAATTCATTATTCAATGAAATACAGTAGTCCAAATGGAAATGTAATAGTCTGTACTTTTCAGAAAAGTAATAGTACAATATTATATTTGAAAGCTGTTAATGCATTTAGTAGAATGAACTATGAGACCCAGATAAAAAATCTATAGAAGTTGCCTGACAAAAACTTCCAGAATTTAAGTGCTATTCCTTTGGGTGCTTTCTAGTCTTATTAATAAGCACCAGCACCTAATCATGGTTGTGAAAATAAAAACTTAAAAATCATTGTGCTATAGGTCTATTGGAAGGAAACTCTCCTGTCCAAGATTGTTTTAAAGTTTCAGCAAATTTTGACAAGCAGCACATTTTAATGAATACTTATGAAAGGCAAACAACACACTTGCTTAAAAGCAGAAATGTAAGAACAGTAGTAGGAGGTAGTGTAGAAAATCATGACTGATTTAGAGAAATCTTTCACTACTGGTTCTTTGGCAAAGTCTGCAAAGGAGACAGTCACTATGCAGATAAACCTTGGAAGACAATGGCTTAGTGTTAAGCTCAAGGAAGAATATTTATATACCCTTATGACCTTCATGGGCCCATGCTTTCCCAGAGTAGCAGGCACCTGTGATCGATGAGTTCCTTCCTATTATTTATTTAGTTCCAAAATGTTAGAAGAGTTGGCTTGACGTAATGGATATTACATCCTTATTTTTGCTTCTAATTTTTTTATAAAGTAAAAGATACATTCTATCATCTTTCAATTCATGACTAAGTACATCAGAATTGTGCATTTGAGAGAAGACTGAAACAAGAAGCCTTTCAGAGTATTAGCCACATTTCATTTCCTACTATATCATTGCAAGCCAAGTTAGTACAGGCAATTTCCACAAAACAGTAAAAAAGCATATCACTTCAATGCTAAGAATGAAACTCTCTGGTTTTCTTGAGAGCTCATGTTAGAGGAAAACTTGAAGAATTCACAAATATGCTCTTTCTGATACTGTAAAGTGTTGACAAAGCCACAGATAAGTAACAAAAGCCACAGAAATGAATTTGGCAGAATCCTCATGAAATGTCCAAGGTCATACAACTCCTTATGGGTGGCACTGATGCCAACCAGATGATGGCAGCATTTTTAGGTATGTGCTAAGAATTATTTAGATAGTCAATTCTTTTGCTATGTACAATCCTCACAGTTCCTTTCCTTCTCAGGAGCAAAGTAAATGCAATCATATTAAAAGATGTGTAATAACTTAAGTTGGAATTTTTAACATAAGAAATCATTTTGATTGCCATTCAGAAACTCAGGGAGGGCTGAGTAAAGGTAAAAGATTAAGGGATCTGTTTTCTAGCATCATTCTTTCACTGTATTAAAAAAAAGACAATGGACAGTATCCAAAATTAAGATTACCTTCTCATGAGTAAAATACTTTGACAATCAAAAATTAAGATATTACATTAAAAAGTTAACCATTTCCACTGAAAAAGTGAACAATATTCCACTGGGAATTTTAGAAAGAAGCCAGCAATTTAGAACAGTATTTTACAGTATAAAATGAGTAAATAGGACCAATTTATTTGTCAAAATTACTAATATATCAGTTGTAAATTGTGAGTTATTGCTATAAATCCTGAGTTATTATTATCATTCTAGACTTAATTTTATCATCTTCTGACTGGGAAATTAACTGAATCTGTATACTATTTAAAGGTTTTCAAAGCATTCTGTGAGTTTAATATTGGTGAAATTCCAAACCTTTGTATTATGTATTATATGTGCATATATATATATATATATTACTTCATATGCATGAATATATACATGAATATATATGGATATATTTTTTTCATTTCAATTAATGACCCTAGGGACCTTCTGTGATATGAGATTTTTCTGTAATGAAATCCATTAGCTCCCTAGGCCACACAACATTATAACCACAGACCACAATCTCCTGCTGATAACTGGCCTACGTATACAGGCAGGGGCCCTAGAAATAAATCACATAGGCTATAGTTTGCATCTGCTTATCAAATGTGTGGGGAAAAAAACTTCTCTAAGTGGATTATGAAGTTGATTTCACTGAAGTACTGACAACTTGTGCTGTGAGAGAAGGAAAAAAAAGAGGACAGACACATGGTTTATATTGAAGGACAGAATCTGGTATAAATTAAAAAATAAAGTGACAAAGCACAGGTGTTCTGAATTATTTATATAATAACTAAATGGAGATACTGTGCTCAAAGGGATACCTCTTTATATTTAATTCTTAGAAGAAATCATGGCTGTCCCAATTTTAAATTTTAATTTAATCCTGTATGTACCTTGTGTCAGGTGTGATTACCATGATTTCCATGAAAGGCTTCATTTTTTCAGTGAATATCAGACAAAACAGCAGGAAGTAAAGTCTATAAGAATGAAAAATCTATAGTATAATAAGAAATGAATGCATGGACAGACGTCTGCATATTCACTGGCTCTGGAAATTTTGTCACTAAGGAGTCTAACAGAATAACAAGGTGGGGGAAGGGGCAGTGATCAGAGTGGCTCCTCTGCAGAACCAGCAAATTCCCAGAGGAGGCACTGTTGCACTGCTGCTCACAGCTAGATCTTCTCAGCTTGTTAGAGACAAGGGAGATGGTCACCCAGGACTCTTGTCACATGGCTTAGTAGCTTGTCCTCAGCTCCCCTGTATCACCCCAGCAAAAAGCATCACATTCCCTTGTTCGAGGAAGGAACACTTGCCTCACAGTCCCTTTGAAACTAACTCACGCATGCTTGTTATTCTAGAAGTTTCTGCAAGCACATGAAAACATACAGTTTTGTTTTTCTTTTTTTTCAACCAAGAGAGAGAAAGCACTGTGATGCGATTAAAGCAGTTAATGCAATAAATGTAAAACCTTGTAAAAATCCAGGATTATTGAAATCATTCATCAATAAATATGTATAGCAGAGAACAACTTCTGAACTTAGTACTTTATAACATATCTCTGAAAGATCTTATATTGAACTGAAACATAGATGTATTCACTTTTTCTTACGTACATACAGCCTGAGAAGTTTAGATCAGTGTTGCCATTTAGAAACCAAAATACTGGATAATTGGAATGCTGGCAAGAAAATGATGACTGAGAGGAGACAGTGGTTTGATTTTTTTTCAGACCAAAGAAGACTGAACAGTGGCCAACAAAATGTGCTCTCCTCTCTCTCTTCCTCATTGGACACTAAAACCCAGAGTCAATTCAGGGACTTGCAAGGATATAGATGCCTTGCAAGTGCCTTTTTATAAAAAGAAAGAAAGAAACAAAGAAAGAAAGAAAGAATGAAAGAAAGAAAGAAAGAAAGAAAGAAAGGATAAAGGGAAGAGCTCTCTGCTATTGAATCAATAAAAATAGACTTAGGAAGAGTTGTGCATCTGTCAACTGATACTTAAGGCAATGCCAATGACCTATCACAGTTGTTAATTACAATAATGTCTCACTCTGTGAATGCACAATGCCCTTTTAGTTACAGTGCAAACTATAATACCTTCTAGAAGGGTGATGGACTTGCTGCTTGCTTTATTTTTCTTTACATGCACAGAATATCAATAAGCTTTCTCATACAAAACAGTTAAAACTGAGTGTTACCTCACAGCTCCCTGCTAGTCATTGAAAATTAAGCAACACACAAGAAAAGATTTCCATAAAGTTGTTAGCCTTATTAGCATTCATGTTTTAGCATTTAACCCCATCCTATCCAAAACAGCCCCTAAAATGAATAAAAAGATTTTAATGCTTTTATTTTTTTCATGGAGAATAACAAGAAAAGCGTTTGGGTAAACTAGTTCTTTAGAAAGACACTGTTTTGATGGGTTTCTGGGAGCTGCAAATGTAATTGCTTTCTCCCTTAGCTCTTCCTTTCCTTTAAAACTTCTCTGTATAAAGACTAAAAACTTAGATGGGACTGACAGTGCATCAGCGCAAACTTTCCTTTACCAAAGCTTGCAAAACTCTTTAAAACACAGTTTTGTGTGTGTGTGTGTGTGTGTGTGTGTGTGTGTGTGTGTGTGTGTGTGGGCAATCTGCCTTTAACAATGTATATCCCTTATTGGCAATTTCAACATAGTGACATTATTTTTTACTCTCTGTATAGACAGAGATATAAAGTTTTGTCCACTTGCCTCTTTAAAAAAATGAAAGAAAAGAAAAAACAAAGAAAGAAAGGAAAAACTGGCTAGGCAAGTCTTACTTTTATAAATATTGAATTTAGTACATTACCTAAAAAGGACAAACTATTTCTTGCAAAGTATAATATGTTTCACAGATATTCATGGTTTAGTATGCAGATCTCCAGTCTTGAGATGCTCAATCTCTAATTTTTTTTCAACAGCTTCTGATTTCCCTGGTGCTGGGTTAACTCATTTTAGTTTTTTTTTTTTTTTTACTTACCTGAACTATGACATCTAAGAAATCCGAAGGGTTAAGGATCTTGAAGGTGAGGCATTCAGAACAAAGGTCCTTTCGCATTAATCCACACTAGAATACTGAATGCCAACAACTAGCCCTATGCCAAGTGAACCCGTGAAGAAGTCCAAGTCCGGTATGCGTTCCAGAGAAACTGGGCGCCCTTTTTCCAGCTCATACGTAGGATACAACCAGAAAGAGCTGGAGACAAACCCTGATGATGCACCCGATCAGCTGAATGCTAATACAAGAAGGGAGTGGGGGGAGCAACCTTAAGTGGGATCCACATTCACACAAGGCCAAAGGAGTCCAGTGCTGGCAGTTCAAAGGACTCCTGCTCCCACAGGCACACACCTCCTTCTGGCCTCAGACCTCTGCCAAAAAACGGCGGCACAGGCTGCCCGGAGTTGCACCCTGCATCCATCCAAGGTCCAGGGAGGGGTCCGCTGAGTACCGCTTTGAGGACAGCCTTGCAGACGGCGGCTGTTTACCTTTGCATCTGGAGTGGGTTGGGATTCGCTCTCACCCTACTTCCCTCGCGTTGCACCTGGTGTCTGTCAACATTGCTTTCCCGGCCAAGCGCACGAGAGCTCAGTCCTCACGCCTGTCCTGCCAGGCAGAAGCACGTCTCACGACAGCACGCAGTAACTTGGGAACGCCGCGGGAAACTCCGCACGGATACCCCCGCCGTCTGCTCACAGATCTGTCCTGCTCCCCGCGCTGCGCTGCGAGGGCGCGCGTCTGCCCCGGTGCCCTCCCAGCCCCAAGCCTGACTTACACACTCACCTGCGTCCTCGCTACCCTATCAGCTTCGTCAGACCCCGGAAACCGCGGCGTTTGCATCCGAAAGGAGGCACGCTTGGAGATGGGGGTGGAGGGGCTGGGGGGGAAGGGGGAGGGATCCGCGGGTGCCCAAGGACGCAGTGCTCACAGCTACGCGCTCCAGGCGGACATGGAGGCACCAGATCCGCACCTGCTCTGCCTCCGGCCACCCGCTCTTCCTCCAATCACAGCGCACTCCGCGGGTCGCAGGGACCCTGCGGGGCCTTGAAAGTCAGTGTCCTGCTCCCTGCGGAGTATAGAAGGGCCATCGTTACCCTCCCCACCCCCTCCCCAACACACACACACAAGCTAGCTCTGCACGGTAGCCTCGGGTACCAGTTCTAGAGCCAACGGGAGCGCGCGTCCCCGGAGAGGGCTAGAGGGCGAGCGCGGGTGACAGGGAGAGGGCGCGCGGGGCCGGACAGCATGAGCGCTAGAGGACGGTGCACATCCCAGCGGGTGACCACTGACAGCACCCAGCCAGAGAAGCTACTGAGACTCCAGGACCTCCTTGAGATCCTGGAAGGGTGGTTGACTGTTCTCGCCCAAAAGGGAGCCTCTTAGCCGGCACGCGCGCGAACACATCCACACCCGCGCATCCCCCTGCACCTCCTGACTGACGGAACTGTGCGGATGGATTCCTTTGCAGGGAAATAAAGAAGTCGGTTGAAAGTGGGAGGGGCTCAAGCTCCCCTCTCATTCCTCCCAGCCCCAAGGTATTTGCATCTGAAAGCAAGAAGGAGCGGGGGGGGGGGGGGACGGGCGGACGTGACTTTTTTGTTTCCACGATTCTTTTTTTTTTTTCAAGTATTCCCCACCCCCAGTCTGTCTAGGAAGCCTTTTATCGTTTAAGCTCTTGAGGCGCAAAGGCAGTCGTAAAACTAGACAGAACTTACAGTTTTCCTGCCTGATAGTCTTGCCCTTCCATTCTCCATGGACTGCCTTACTTTTACTTCCTTTACCTGCGGAAACTGTCCTTCTCTGCCGTGCTCTCTAAGGGAAAACTTCTGAAGTGTGTGATTTCCAAACAGGGTGGAATCCGAATGGCCCGAGGCCGGCAAGAGGGGAAGGAGAGAGTAGCTGGGCTTTTATTCACTGTGAGATAAACACAATGAAACATGCTTTGCTTGCCTCTGTTGGGTGCTTGATTTAGCCTGGTGACTTGCTGTTTGGTCACAGAGATGAGAGTTGCGCATATCAGTATCGAGTTCATTGGTTTTCGTTTTACCCGTTCATCTAATGGACTTTCCTTCTCCTACCTACTCAACTTAACGGTTCCACAAGAGAAGCAAAGACTTGTCCACCAGTCTCAGATTCCTTTATTTCCTATTCACTGAAGCAAGCTTGCTCTTCACCCAATTCAGTCAGTCCTGGCCTTTTAACTTCTATTTCCTCTCCTCCTTCTGTCAGGATTTAAAGTGGACAGCATTCAAGTAACTAAGGAAGGAGGATCGTGAAATCAAAGCTACCTGCGTTACACAGAGCCACTAAAAATGTAAACAATGAATACATAATGTGTAAACTTGAATTCCGTTCTTAGTAAGTCAGTCTCTTTGAACTCCTGAAAATCTGGTACATCCTTATTTGTTATTTCTTCACTTCATGTTAATTTCCCCCTAACTATGCTCCCCTCCCTGGGGAAGAGGAGGGAGGGGGATCATTGTCAGATATGGCTTTAAGCACAGGCATTATGGTTTCAGGTATTTGAAAGGCTCAAATTCTGATTTTCCTGGCTGCTGGAAAGCAATCTACAATACTGTTTGTTTGTTTCCTGTGTAACCTTGCATACACATGCTTTGCATAATTTTACTGCTTTCTAGAAGAGTAACTTTTCTTATAACCAACCCCTTTGGAGTGAAAACTACAAAAAGGTAATTAATTACAGGGATTCAGTATATGAAGGATGTTTGGCCCTTGGAATAAATGTTTTTGTAACTTAGAAGTGATTGTCTGTATGCTCATTGGCGTTTAACTGATATTATATTAGGATAATTGTAAATTGTTCTCTGACTGCCTGGGCCATTCTACTGAGAAAGATGATAATGTGATTGGTGATCACTTTTGTGTGAGATGGTCCCATGTAGCTGCAAGCTTCGAACTCCTATATAGTCATAACTAACCTTGAGCTCCAGATCCTCTTTTTAAGCAATGAGCATTATATGAAATAAAAACATCTGTAAACAATGAAATAATTTATTTTAATGGTATTTTTAGCTTTCACTTTTCTCCCCTGCATTGAGCCTTTGCATAAAGACTGACTATAAATTTGGGATGTCATCCTAAAACAGATACTGTCTTTTTATCTCACTTTCTTGAATAACTTTCCTTGAAACAGAACCTAAACAGAATTAGCAACAGAGGTGAAATGCATTTAGTCAAATGTGGGAACACCAGGCCTAGAGCAGAGACCCACTTCCCCTTCGGCCTGGGAGTAGGCAGCTGTAAGACAAAGTCTACTAAAAACATGTTTACTAAAAACAATACAATGCCCGGGGCAATAAGTTCCTGGAAAAGGCCTGCCCACGGAAACTGCCCTGACCTCGACCTTGTCCAAAGACTAACTGCCTCTTCTGACACGCCCAGATCAGTTTTGGGGGTCAGAGCAGAACCAGCCAGGGTAGAGGAGAGAGCAGAAGCTTCTCTGGAGGGAGCCTTTCTTAGGAAGTTTTTCTTTTTGAACCTTTTTGGGGCCTGCTTAAAGTTTTCTTTACATCGTTGAACGAGTCTCTGTGTTGTCAATCCCCGACACCCTCCGCACGTTCTAGGACACAGGCCGCACGGCAGACTCGACAGTCAAACAAACTCTATGCCCTGCTCATCATGTTCACCAGCAGCTGTTCACCAGCTTCTCATTCCACAGGCAAGTCTAGATTCCTTTCCATAGAAAAGTATAACCTAAAGAGATCAGGAAGTGTCTATTTGCTAGTCAGATGATTTTTGATTGTGACAAAGTACCAGGAAATGTGAGGGAAGGACAATTAAATTCAGAGCTTCAGTAGGTCCAGTCCATGGTCACTTGTTTCCACACTTCCTTGTTCCCAAGGTCAAGAGTAACATGATGGTGACTGGAGCTTGAGAGAAGGAGCTTCCACACTTCATGGTAGAAAGAAAGCACTATGTAGCAGAAACAGTAGACAGCCAGGACAATGTACAATACCAGGGACAGGTGCCCAGTTACTTATTTTCTCCAGCCAGTAACCATTTTAAACCATTCCCTTGACCTCAACTGTTCTTTTTAAAATTTTAGTACATCAACAAAGTAAACAGTTAATTATATAAGAGGGCTGATGTTTATGATTATCTCTGAAAACACCATCTCAGATATACCCAGAAGCATACTCTAATAATATCCTACAAGTTTCTGAACCAGGTCAACAATCAAGATTAAATATGTCAGGCTGTCTCTGAGTAGATGGCATTTAAACTGAGATAGAGTAATCAGAATAGTAGGGTTTATGGAGATCTGAGGGAGAAATGATTTGTGCAGACTAAACAAGAGAGAAGACTCCCTAGAGAAAGAAGTGGCTCTCCGTGAGAAGCCTAACTTACTGCAGAAATCTGGGCAAACAAAAGACATGTCCTTGTAGTAACAGCTAGGTCGTAAGTCTCTCAGGGCCTTCTCATTCTTGGAAGACATATTTAAACTTTACTCCTAGGAAGAAGGCAAACACTGAGGCCAACAATTAAAGGCAAGCTCAAAGTTTATGCTGCAGTTATTAGGACAAAGACATGCTTTGTTGGTTTATTACGTCTCTCCTCTCCTCAAGGTCCCTTGACTGCTAAGAAACCTAGCTTTCTGGGTAGAACAAATAAAATTGCTGTCATTACATGAAGCCAAATGTGCTATCAACAACCTCATGTACATGCATATCAGTTATGATAATATATTTTCTTATAAGATCCACATTTTTTATATTGTGTCTATTTATATGATACATATATGTGAGAGAGAGGAGGGAGGGACAACAAATGGCATATTCTCAGGAAAAAGCTTTATTTCTTCATTATTATTTTGTAAGGTTATTTGATGAACCATAAATTACTCCTTTTGCATTAATTAAAAAGCCTTCTTTTCACTTTGACTAAATTGTTTTCAGAATAGAAAACAATTAAATAAGTCTATCATGGCTTCTTTCAGTGTGGAGATTATTTTCCTGCTTTGAAGTAGATTTCATATAAGAATTTTCTAGTGAGATTGCTTCTCAAATCAGCTTCATATCCAGTTTACTCATATATGTCATTAATATTTGGACTGCCTAGATGGTTCAATGTTGGTAAATATCCTTGCCACCAACACTTACACCCTTAGGCAGATCTCTGGGACTCATATAGTAGAAGGTAAGAACTGAGGCCTAAGTATTTTTTTCCCTGACTACCACATAATCCCAATTTCATACCTATGTGCATATATACACACACTCTCACAATCACATACACACTCATACATATGCACATACATACATATATTCACACACATACTTACACTCATTCACTAATACATATAAACATATATTTAAAATTTCGTACACCCCCACACATGTAAATACACTCACATTCACACATTCTTTTTTATTTAAATTAGAAAAAGCTTATTTTACATGTCAATCCCAAGTCCATCTCCCTCCCCTCCTCCCCTGTCCCCCACTTACTCCCTATCCCAGCTCCTTTCTGCTCCCCAGGGAGAGTGAGACATTCCATGTGGGATCTTCAAAGTCTGTATTATCATTTGGATACCATCCCCCATGTCTAGGCTGAGAGAGTATCCCTCTGTGTGGACTGGGCTCCAAAAGGCCATTCCATTAATAGGGATAAATACTGATCCAATACCAGATGCCCAGACCTCCTAACTGACACCCACATTTAGGAGGTTTGGAAAAGTCCTATGCTGGTTTCCCAGATATCAGTCTGGGGTTCATGAGCTCCTCCTTGTTCAGATCAACTGTTTCTGTTGGTTTCCCAGCCTCGTCTTGACCCCTTTGCTCATCATTCCTCCCTCTCTGCAACTGAATTCCAGGAATTCAGCTGAGTGTTTAGCTGTGGGTGTCTGCTTTTGCTTCCATCAGTTACTGGATGAAGGCTCTAGGATGGGATATAAGGTAGTCATCAATCTCATTATTGGAGAAGGGCATTTAAGTTAGCCACTCCACTATTGCTTGCATTGTTAGTTGGGGTCATCCTTGTAGACATCTAGATATGTTCCTATTTCCAGATTTCTCTTTAAACCTATAATTTCTCACTTTATTATAGTATCCTCTATTCTTCCCCTGTCTCAACCTTCCTGCTCACTCATGTCTTCTCCCCTTCTATTCTCTCCTTCTCTTTCTCCTAAATCCCTCTCCTCTTCCCTTCATGCTCCCAATTAGCTCAGGAGATTTTGTCCCTTTCCCCTTCTCTGGGGGACCATGTAAATCTCTCTTAGAATCCTCCTTGTTTCCTAGTTACTCTGAAGGTGTGGATTGTAGGCTGGTAATCCTTTGCTGTATGTCTAAAATCCAAATAAGAGTGAGTACATACCATGTTTGTCTTTTTGTGACAGGGTTACCTCACAAAGAATGGTTTCTTCTAGTTCCATCCATTTGCCTGTGAATTACAAGATTCCATTTTTTTGTTTTGTTTTGTTTTGTCCCTTCTCCCCCAATGAGTAGTGCTCCATTGTGTAAATGTACCACATTTTCTTTATCCATTCTTCAGCTGAGGGGCATCAAGGTTGCTTCCAGTTTCTGGCTATTACAAATAATGCTACTGTGAACATAAGGGAATAGATGTCCTTGTTGTATGAATATACGTCTTTTTGGGTATATACCTAAGAGTGGAATTGCTGAATGCTGTGGTAGACTGATCCCCATTTTCCTGCGTAATCTTCATACTGATTTCCAAAGTGGCTGCATAAGTTTACACTCCCACCAGCCTTAGAGGAGTGTTCCCCTTTTTCCACATCCTTTCCAGCCTCTTCAGCATAAACTGCCATTGGTGTTTTTGAATTTTCACCATTTTGACAAGAGAAAGATGGTATCTCAGAGTTGTTTTTATTTGCATTTCTCTGAGGGCTAAGTATGTTGATCAATTTCTAAAGTGCCTTTCAGCCATTTTAGATCCTCTGTTGAGAATTTTATAGTTCTGTGCCCCTTTTTTTAGTTGGAATATTTGGTGTTTTGGTGACTAGCTTCTTGAGTTCTTTGTATATTTTAGAAATCAGCCCTCTATCAGATGTTGGATTAGTGAATATCTTTTCCATTCTGTATGCTACTGTTTTGTCTTGTTGATTGTGTACTTTGCCTTACAGAAGCTTCTCAGTTTAAAGAGGTTCCATCTGTTAATTGTCGATCTCAGTATCTGTGCTACGGGTGTTATGTTCAGGAAGCAGTCTCCTATACCAATTCATTCAAGGGTTCCTTACCTCCTACTTTCTCTTCTAAGGGGTTCATTGTGGCTGAATTTATGTTAAGGTCTTTGATCCACTTGGACTCAAGTTTTGTGCTTGATGATAGATATGGATTTATCTGCAGTTTTCTACATGCCAGCATCCCATTATGCCATCACCATTTGTTGAAAATGCTTTCTTTTTCCACTGTATAATTTTAGCTTCTTTGTCAAAAAGCAGGTGTTCATAGGTGTGTGGGTCCATATGAGGGATTTCCATTAGATCCCATTGGTCTACCTGTCTATTTTCGACACACCTTCCTCACACCTTCACACAAATATGCATGCATGTATGCATATAGTGATTAAATATATAATACAATGCAAAATATATATAATTCAGATAATTGATAGTTATGAATTTCAAAGAGCTCATTTTGTGATCACAATTCAAAACATTCTTAAGAGCTCGATGTAAGAGAACTGGACATGCAAATGGTCAAAATATGCTCTTTAAGGCAAGTTTTCAAAAAGTTGAGCTTTTTGTCACTATCTCTTTCAATATAAACATAATGTCCATAAAATATATTTTCATTGTATGTAAAGTTGTTTTCAATTTATTGTTCCTAGGAAGGCATAAGTTGTTTTGCTGAAAAGGCAACACTTTGTGTGAGAGATTCTTTATCAAGTAGTCTGCTCAGTTATTTGGTAAACATGATCAGAACTTCCCCTATTAAGTCTTCTAGACTGGGGATGCTAACACTGTGAAAGATTATATATGAATGTCTTAGATTCATGACTTTCCAGTCTATAATATCACAGTATATGCAAACATCTTCATATAGCATGTGATGAGGAAGACACACAGCCTCATGTATGGGAACACTAAGAAGGGCCATATGATTATAAGTCTGAAAAGAGAAGCTAAAATATTTGTGATTCTCCAGGACAATAAGATCATTGCATTCAAGGTTTTTTTAAAGAAGGATAGGATCATATTTTGATAGAAGAAATTCATTGGCAGCATTAAGCATGTCTTTCAAGGTTAGAAAAATCGTTATGATATTGCTGAAATACATTCAATAGTGTCATGGGCTAGACTATCATCATGACATCAGTCACATATGAATATCCTTTGCATATATTCAGCAAATATAGGTATATTCGCAAACTTCTTGAACAGAATTATCAATAGTATATATTACAAAATATCCATTTAATAATATGTTAATTCTAAATAATGTCCATACTTAGAATATTAATTTCAATGTTGTAGAAAATTCTTTAAGATGTGTAACATTTTATATGCTGTGTAACCTTTGTTTAATGATGTAAAGATATGTTGAATTTGTTTAAGTCTTTGAAACTTGTCACTTTGCCTTTCTAAAACACCTATTGGGTTTAATAAAGAGCAAAACCAATAGCAAGACAGGAGAAAGGATAGGTGGGGCTAGCACACAGAGGGAATAAATATAAAGAAAAAAATCGAGGTACAAGAAAAGAAAGAATGGAGGAGGACATCAGGGTCCAGTCACCTAGTTACACAGCAAGCCATGGAGTAAGAAGTAAAAGAAAAGTATACAGAAATAAAGATAAAAGTCAAGAGGCAAAAATTAGACAGGATAATGTATGAAATGGTGGCTAGCAATAAGTCAAGCTTAGGGCTGGTATTCATACATAGTAACACAACATGTTATTTATTTCAGAGTAAAGAGTAAAAACAACAAGTAGCTACACTTAGATGCATCTACTTCATTGATGGATTCATGATCCCAAGATGACATAGACCAGGATGATGGAATGGACAACCCCCAGGATCATTCTCTGAGGATTTGAAACAGGTGCAGCCCCAGCTCTGGGTTTGAAGTGATATATCCCTCAATGGGTTTGACAGAAAAATTCCACAGGAGTGGAGTGGAGATAAAATGGAAAGCAGAAGTGAAGTCTACATTTAGCTTTTTGTTCTATAAAAAACTCTCCAGTCTCCTCTGTATAGTCACAGTTCATCTCTCTGCTTGAGAGTTAGTGGTTAACATTTCAAAGTAGAAATTTAATACTGCAACATGTCAATTTTCTCAATGTATTCTTACTGAGGAAAAAATTGAAACAGATAAATGTTTGATTTTCATTCAGTATCAAATACCAAGAAGAGAGAGAACACTTACTTACTTAAATAGCTTATGATACTACTGATGTGCCATTGTATCTCTGGATTCATTTCAGTTGGGATAAAAATTATGAATTAAAATTGTCAGAAATAATATAACTAGGTCCACACTGACTCTTGAATTACAGTTTTTCTATAAAAGTCATCTAAAATTTTGATAGAAAAAGCAATGATGTAAATTTCCAACGAAAACTAGTCTATCAAAAGGTGATAAACTATAGAATCTTTGGGGAAGTAGATTTTGATAAATGAATCTAATTAGTCTTATTAAATGAACACCAGGAGTCAGATATTAGGGGATGAAAGCTGAAAGATCAGATAAACAGAGAAGTCAGCCACTAGAGTTCTTATCGCTACAAAATCTCAGACAGAAGAGGAGCTGAGATCTGTCTACACTCTACCTTTTCTTGAATTCTCCGCTTAGCCATATTACTTCATGTCTATTTATACTGATTTCAAGATCTCCATGGTGAACTGCTGGCTAGTCCCACACACTAATCTTCAGGCATGCTTTATTTGCCAGCACACAAACAAAATATCACAATATTGCCCCATTTTATCTAAAAGAGAAGAAAAGCTATGGATACCATCATAATTGATAAAGGTAAGATTTGAACAATAGAGACCTCTTGATTAAAAAAGGTGATGGTTCTTCAAACAACATAGCCATTCAATCTAAACTAATTTATAAAATTAACAAATGCATTTCAATTAATCAGATTTAATTTACCAATAGGGATCCTCCTCAAAGTTGGGGCAGGATTTTGTTTTCATCTCTCAGGAGAATGTAAGCATCCAGCTAAGAAATCTGAAGACAAACAAAAACCACTTCCCAAACATAACACATATTCTGGTTTCCATTCTGATGTCAGCACATCTTTAAAGTTTACAGACTGGTTTAATTCTGTAGTCTTTCTATTATCCAATGTCTCTCTGCAGATATTGCTCCTTTCTCATTAGCATTTATAAGATTCAAAGTTTATAAAGCATTATGTAATCTGCTTTAGGGGCTCTTTATTACAAATTTAGAGTTAGATTTGATCTTTCTATTGCTGCTTGCCCTATAGCATTGTGTGGTATGACTGTAGTATTCTCTACATTGTGATATGCAAAAATTGTTTCATAGTATACTATAGACAAATTCTGGAACACTGGCATTTTTTTAATTGTATACGCACACCCGAGATGGCCACAACTTGTAGCAAATATGTGATTAGAGAATCATTCTTTCATTTTTATGTATGTATTTTATTTAAATTAGAAACATGCATGCTTCAAATGTTAATCCCAGCTCCCCTCTTCTCCCTCCACCGCCCCACTCCCACCCCCCCACCCCCAGCCCAATCCCCACATCATTACCCTGGGAGGATAAGGCCCTCCTTGGGGGGTCTCCAGAGTCTGTCATTTCATCCAGGGCAGGACCTAGGCCCTTCTCCATGTGTCTGGGCTGAGAGAGCATCCCTCCATGTGGAATGGGCTCCCAAAGTTCATTTGTATGCCATGGTGAACACTAATTTACCACCCAAAGCCCCACAGATTTCTGGGATTGACACACTGCTAATTTTTATTTTGATAATCTTTGGTTTTGGTTTGATAATACTTGGATTATCACTAAAAACATTGGTTGATATGAGCATCAAGATACAGGCCTTAGAAAATCTTATTGAAGAAAACCATAGAGATATTTAAAACCAGACAGAGGATATAAAGGAGAACTAAGTATGCATTGAACTATAAGTTTAGAGAGGAAAAGCCTAAAGCTTGAAGAATATCAACCTTATTATATCCAATAACCATCCAGGAATTGCCAAATGATATAGACTCTATAAGAGCTAAATGAACACCTGCACCAATGTTATATTTTTAAAAATTCAAGAAAGCAGTAGTCACAATAAGGCATGCATCCATCATTTGTGAAGTAGATGTTAAACTTGTGGTAAATTTGTAATAGAATTGTTCCTAAAGACCTGAAGACTAGATAGACTTGGTTACCGTTGTCTTAGGACCTGCTTGCTCAGTTACAATGGGTACCTGGTTTAAAGAAGAGGCTAAGACTATTGAACAATGGTGCAAAGCTAGAGGGTTAGAAATCTTCCAAGATCAAATTCTTGTAGAAGGAGAGTATGCTACTATAAAAATCCAATCTCTGTATAATGAACATGGCAAAGCTTTATGCCCTGCATCAGCTTTGAATCCTTGGGGCAGAATTAGAGTAGTAAGAAAGAAAATTGAATCATTTACAAAAGTTATACAGGGCCCAAAGCAAGCATTCATTGATTTCTAACAATGACATATTTAAAAGTGAATAGATGGATATCAGTTTCATATGCTGGAAAAATTATAATTGTAATTCTGGCTTTTGAAAATGCTAATGCTCAATGCAAAAAAATGAAAATTAGTCCTTTAAAGGCAAGGTCAGCACCTTTGGAGGGATAAAATTAGATAAAATCAATATTGAATCTTATAGCCATGATGATGCATAGATAAGAGAGTTTACTTTAAAAGAGAGGGAGAAAAATTGAGATGTTAAATGTTTCAATTCTGGCAGACAATGTCACCTTAAAAAGGATTATAAACAGGGCATTCCTAAAAACAATGACTTCTATCATAATTAAAACAGGATGCTCTTTCCTTCTGGATTGTACAGAAGGTATGGCAAAGGCAGGCATTGAACTGCAGAATGAAGGTCAAAGGGGGATATTCAAAGTAATCTTTTGACATTGGGAAATACCTTGAGGGGATGCTCACAGTAAGCCCTGCCAAACCTGGTTAGTTGACTGTTGTTATCATGGAGGAAACTCCTACCCAGGATAATTAAAGAACCTAATTTTTATTGTAAGAAAATATACAGCCCTTCACTTTGCTATTATGCAGAGACTGGACAAAAATAATATAGCTACCTCTCCCAGCATTTGAAAATTATCCCAATGTTTTCTTTTCAGGATCTTCTAAAGATGCTTTCACCCCCAGACAGCAGGACATAATTTTAGGAACGTGATGCTCACATTACCAAGATGTGTGGTGGGTGGCTTTTGGTCTTTCATTGGATTATGAATATTTGTCAATTTTTAGGGGTGGTGGTTACAAGTTACTCTTGGATATCAGGAAGAAATTCGAAAAAAGGTGATTAGATTCAAGGTTCTTGTTTGAAAAGATAAAAGTGTGATATAGATATGATAGGATAAAATGGTTCATTACTGTATTTTCTTCAAAAAAGAGGAGGCACAGGTATGATGAGACAAAAAGCAGAGTATTGAATCTACTTTAAAAAGCAGCTATTGTTTTAAATATTTTACATTGGATTAGATTTTTGCATACTGTATACAAATGTTGTGTATTGATACACATTTGAGGTTTATTTTGCTAAAACTTACTGCATATAAGTTTCTAATATTGTATTATATCTACATAGCTCATTTAATACTATAACACAAATTTCTAGTTCTTGAGAGGTATTATTAGCAACTATTTAACATAATAAGGAATTGCAGGTTAGTAATTAGTCACCTATTACAATTGAATTGTAACCCTATATAGTATGTTATCGAAGTTAAACAGAGATATAATTTTGAAAAGCAGGTCATCTTCAAATACTTCAGAGCTATACAGAATATGGCATTTAAGGATTTTTATTAATTTTATTTAAATTAAAAACAATCATATTTTATGTAGCAATTCCAGTTCTCTCTCTCTTTTATCCTCCCATTTCCCCCACCATCTCCCCATGCCACACACCATCCACTCCTCAGGAAGGGTGAGGCTTCCAGTAGGGGATAACCAAACTCTGTCACATCATTTTGGAAAGGACCCAGGGCCTCCCCCATGCATCTAAGCTGAGAGAGAAACCATCTATAAGGAAGGAGCTCCCAAAGCCCATTAGTGCACTAGGGATAAATAATGGTTCCACTGCTAATGGCCCTGTAGACTGTCCAAGCCCCCCAATTGACACCTATGTTCAGGGACCTGATTTGGTCTTACCCAGATTCCCCACCTGTCAGGCTAGAGTGCTTGAGCTCCCACTTGCTCAGTTCAGCTGTTTCTGTGGGTTTCCTCAGCATGGCCTTGACCCAATTGCTCATCACTCCTCCCTCTCTATAACTGGATCTGTGGATCTGTGTTTCTCCGTCCATCAGCTACTGGATGAAGGGTGTACTAAGGCATTTCAGGAAGATATTAATCTCATTATAGGGGAAGGATATTTCAGGTAGCTTCTCCACTACTGCTTATATTCTTAGTTGGGGTCATCTTTATGAATTGCTGGAAATTTCACTAGTGCCAGGCTTCTCATTAAGCACATAATGGCTGGCTTTATTAAGGCATCTTTTTCCTTATTTTTCTCCTCTGTTCTTCCTGGATCCCTCACGTTCTCCTCCCTCTTCTTCTCCCCTCCTCTTACTCCTACTTCACTCTGCCTCCCCCACATGCTCCTAATATACTCACCAGGTCTTGTCCCTTTCCACTTCATGAGTTCTCTTATCTCCTGTCTTCTCTGGGGTCGTAGATTATAGGATGGTTATCATTTGATCTATGTCTAATAACCACATATGAGTGAGTAAATACCATGTTTGTCTTTCTGTGACTGAGTTACCTCACTCAGGATGGTTTCTTATAGTTCCATCCATTTGCCTGTGAATTTCAAGACGTCATTGTTTTTTTTCCACTGACTAATACTCCATTCTATAAATGTATAACATTTTATTTACCATTTTTCAGTTGAGGGGTATCTATGTTGCTTCCAGGTACTGGATATTATACATAATGCTGCTATGAACATAGTTTAACAGTTGTCCTTGTGGTATGAATGTACATCCTTTGGGTATATGCCTATAAGTTGAATTGTTTGTCTTGCAGTAGACTTATTACCATTTTGCTGAGAAACCACCATACCGAATTCCAAAGTGGCTGTACAAGTTTGCATTCCTGCCAGCAATGGAAGAGTGTTCCCATTTTTCTACATCCTTTCCAGCATAAATGTTCATTGAGGTGTAAGTTGGTATCTCAAGTTTGGTTGATTTGCATTTCCCCGAGGGCTAAGGATGTTGAGCAATTCTAAAGTACCTTTCAGCATTTTGAGATTCCTCTTTTGAGAATTTTCTATTTAGATCTGTACCCCATATTATAATCAGATTAATTGGTGTTTTGGTGACTAGCTTCTTAAGTTCTTTGTATTTTTTGGATATCAGCCTTCTGTCAGATACGGTGTTGATCAAGATCATTCTGTAGGCTGCCTTTTTATCTAGATGACTGTGCCCTTTGCTTTACAAAAGCATCTATCTCAGTTTTAGGAGGTCACATTTATTAATTGTTAACATCAGCGTTCATGCTACTGGTGTCATGTTTAGGAAGAGTTCTCCTGTGCCAATTCATTCAAGGGTACTTCCAATTTTCTCTTCTAAGAGGTACAGTGTAGGTGGATTTATGTTGTGGTCTTTGATCCATCTGGACATAAGTTTTCTGCATGCCAATAGATATGGTTCTTTCTGCAATTTTGCACATATAAGCATTCAGTTATGTCAGCACAACTTTTGGAAGATACTTTCTTTTTACCTTTGTATAACATATCAGCGTCTTCAATATCAGGGCCTTTGATACAATTCCATTGGTCCACCTGCCTGTTTTGTGGTACTACTAAGCTGTTTTCATTACTATAGCTTTATTGTATAGCTTGAGGTCAGGGATGGTGATGCCTCTGGAAGTGGCTTTATTGTACAAAATTGTTTAGACTGTCTGTGATTTTTGCTTTTCCATGTAAAGTTGAGTATTTTTCTTTCAAGGTCTGTGCGGAATTGTGCTGGAATTTTGACTGGGATTGCATTGAATCTGTAGATTGCTTTTGATAAGATTTCCGTTTTTACTAGGTTGATCTTAGCTATCCAAGAGCACACATTTTCTGACAACTTCTTTAATTTCTTTCTTTAATTACTCAAGGTTCTTGCCATACAGGTCTTTCACTTGTTTGGTTAGAGTTACTCCAGGATATTTTTTGCTGCTTATCACACTTGTGAAGGGTGATGTTTCTCAGCCCATATATTGTCTATATTTTTTGGAGGGGTACTTACTTGTTTTTCTTTTTCTTTTTCTTTTTTTTTTTTGAGTTGATCTTGTATCCGGCCACTTACTGAATGAACTGATCAGAAGTAGGAATTCCCTGGTAGAATTTTTCACTTTTGTAAACTATCATATCATCTACAAATAGTGAAAGTTTTACTTCTTCCTTTCTAATCTGTAACCCCTTGATCTGGCTAGAACTTCAAGTACAATATTGAAGAGATATGGAGAGAGTAGACAGCCTTACTATATTTCTGATTTTAAATAGATGAATTGAATTTCTATCCATTGAGTTTGATGTTGTCTTTTAGCTTGGTTTTTATTGCCTTCATTATGATTAAGTGCATTCCTTTTATCCCTGAACTTTCCAATACCTTAATCATGAACATGTCTTGGAATTTATTGACAGTTTTTACATCATATAGTGGGATGATCATGTGGTTTTCTTTTTCAGTTTGTTTATATGGTGGATTAAATTGAAATATTTTCAAATGTTGACCCATCCCTGCATCTCAGGGATGAAGTCTACTTGATCAAAATGGATGATTTTTCTGATATGTTCTTGGATTCAATTTGCCAGTATTTTATTATTTTTATACCAATATTCATGACTGATCTTTAGTTCTCTTTCTTAGTTGTTTCTTTGTGTAGCTTGGGTACCGTGGTCATTGAAGACTCATCAAAAGAATTTGGCAATGACCCTTCTGCTTTTATTATGTAGAACAATTCAGGAGTGTTGGCATTAGCTCTCCTCTGAATTTCTGGTAGAAGTCTGTGCTGAAACATGTGACTCTGTGCTTTTTTTGATTGGGAGACTTTTGATGACTGCTTATATTTCATTAGGAATTACAAGCCTATTTAAATTGTTTATCTGTAGGGAGAGATCTTATGTAACTATAGCACTGACAACGTCCATTTGGGCATGGTCACAGGTATGTGGGAGAAGGCAGGGATAAAGAACAAAGGACAAGCAGGAAGGGGAGAGCTCTCTTGGGGTTTTGCTCTAGACTTAGAGACCAGCAGATCACTGACTTCAGGTTCTCGGCTTCTCAGTTCAGTGACTTCTCCCTAATAAAGTATCATATGACTTCTCTTCCCTTTATACTTCATGTTGTTTAACATTCCCCATAGCTTATGTATAGTTGATTTAATTTTGGTAAGTGATGCCTCTCCAGAAAATTGTTCATTTCCTTTAAATTTTCTAATTTTGTGCAGTAAATGTTTTCAATATATGACTGATGATTCTCTGGATTTCCTCCTTATCCATTGTTATGTCCCTCTTTTCATTTCTGATTTTGTTAATTTGCATGCTCTCTCTCTGCCTTTTGGTTAGTTTGGATGCAGATTTGTCTATCTTGTTGATTTTCTTGAAGAACCAATTCTTTGTATCATTGATTCTTTGTATTGTTTTTTTTCTACTTTATTGATTTCAACCATCTGGTTGATTATTTATTGCTGTCTACCACTCCTGGGTGAGTTTGCTTCTTTTTGTTCTAGAGCTTTCTGGTAGGCTGTTAAGTCTCTAGGGTGACTATTCTCCGGTTCCTTTATGTAGGCACTTAGTACTGCTTTCAAAGTGTCTCATAAATTTAGGTATGTTGTGCCTGTATTTTCATTGAATTTTAGGAAGACCTTCCTTCCTTCTTTCTGTCCTTCCTTCCTTCTTCCTGTTTTTCTTCCTTCCTGTTTTTCTTTTTTTCTTTCTTTCTTTCTTTTCTTCCTTTCTGTCTTCCTGCCTTTCCTTCTTGCTTGCTTGTTTTTTTCCTGACCAAGGGGATACAATTGAGCATTGTTCAATTTCCATGAGCTTGTAGACTTTCTACAATTTTGTTGTTAAACTGTAACTTAAAACATGGTGGTCTGATAAGATACATGGGGTTTGCCAATTTTTTTTGTATCTGTTGAGGTTTGCTTTGTTTCTTTTTCCAATCATTTACTCAGAGGTAATGATGCAGTGCTGGATGGTTTGGGGGTATGAGGAAAGTGCTCCAAGCTGTCTGGACTTTCTTTCATGGTGGGGACTAGGTCAATGCTCCAGTGATGGCAGATGCAGTGCTGAATGATTCGGGGCTGTCCCTAGGTCTCTGGGGATTTGGTGGGCAGGAAGGGGAGATGTGTCCAGTTAAAGTGATTATGATGAGGGTGGGAAACAGGAGAATGTTTGGAACTGCCATCTCATAGTGGTAGTGGGCCAAGGCTCTGATGGAAGCAAATGCTGGGATCGATGTGCCCCAGTAAAGGGCCTACAGTGGCTTGGAGGGGGTCATTTAGATGTTTCAATAACATATATTTTGTTTATTATGACAATGAGCCATGTCTGCTCCTGGCAGGACCAATCCACTTTAAAGAAGACGATCAGCACTGAAGAAACTCCACATGAAGTTTTGCTTTCTTTGTGGCAAAATTAAGCCACTGGGCAAGAAAGTAGCCTTGCCTTGATGTCAGACAGTATGCCCTCCAAAATGCACAAGCAGGACACAAAAGAGAGTGACTGAAAACTTTACCAAGAGAAGGCAGGACAGTGCTTCAAAAATCTTGCTTCCCAGAAAAGATGGTCAGATATGCTAGGCCTATAGGAAGAAGATGGATAACACAAAATTTCAGAGCAACCTTGGTTGA